ATTTAAAATATCGATGACTCAGCAAGTGAAGGGTGTTAAAACTGTTTACAGTCGCGGCACTCGACCATAGCGTTCACTCGTGCTTTAAAAATAGATTCAAGTTCTTAACATATTTTTTTGTTCTCTGGTTGGGCGAAATTAATAGCTTTTGAAAATTGCCAAAGTTATTTATAGATAAGCAAAAAACAGCTACAGCTGATATCAGTTACTAATTTTAGCCAAAATATCATAAAACAAAACTCTTATCAGTTCGTCAAGTGATGATGCAAGCCTAACCACTACTTCCAAGTGTTCCGTTAAAATTGTTTCTCAATATATTGTACATTAAATTATGTATAAGAAATATGCACAATAAAAACTCTAGGGCTGCCGATAGGAAAACCATCCAAAAACAACGAATTTCATTCTCATTTTTCGTATTTTTCCGTTGCGCTAATCGATCCTGTCATCGTAAATAATAGAAAATATTACAGTTGTCGATTTGCATTAAGTTTTCCATACTGTAATTTCACCTGCGCTGTTGACGTTTGTTTAGGCCGCGCGTGGGGCCGTAAAAACGGTTCAGAAAACGATCGTCGAGTGGTTGATATATGTAAGTGGGTGTGGCCACCGGACGAGGCCACTTGTAAGCAAAGTCAATGACCTACAGGAATTGGCCTTGTTTGGTGGTCAAGGTCCCCTGGCAATAGTTTTCTTTGTATGAATAAGGAAGTTCGTAAGAAAACAAACTCTAAAGAAAAATTATTTATTCGTTAGCTATTATGGCAATCTTAGCAGACATCAAATACAGTCCACTATAAATGTTTACATACTTTAGAAGGTAGATCTCAATTCTGACCTGACACAATTTAAAAATGTAAAATTTTTTTTTGTAATACAGATCGGAAATTGTTATAGAACAGAAACATTCTTGGGTCCAAATACTCTGTCAAAGGAGAAAGAGATGGGGAGATGTACACATACACACACAAATGCACTCCACGCGCAACTGAAAAGCAAACACAAAAAATCAGGCAAGACCCAACGACTGTAGGAAAGACTGTCTAGCTATAATAAGCCATTTTATAGTTGAGCGAAAGAGACGGCGGGAGAGGGAGAGAAAGCGAAGCGACATGTGCATGCGATAAATGCAACGTGTAATGTGGGGAGGCGTTGCCGGGGTTTTCGACAGCCGATTGCCATACGAAGTGGAAGAGGACGTGCAACAGTTTGCGATGCACGTGTAGGCGGTCAATGAACCGGATGAGCGAGCCAGAAGAGAGCGCGATAATGGGAAGTGCAGGGAGCGAGGAGCTTGCACTCAGTGGGAGAGAGTGAGCTGGACGGTGTTTAATGCAGTTATTATTGACGCAGTCTGTCTACGTGCAGAATGTCAATGCCGCCGCTGTCCTCGCCCTCCTATCGCCTGGTATCGATAAGGGGTGTTATCGATCCGGCATGCAGTCCAGCTACATTGTAGCCGTGAATATGGATAACTGACTGCAGGTCTAATTGAATCGGCAATTCCACAACGATAATTCAGTTCAAAAAACAAATGGCGTCTGTTTTTCAAAGCCGATCGTATGCACACACATAAACAAGTGGGAAAAACAAATGCAAACATACATACATACAAAGAAACAACTGCAAAAAGCTGTTTCGTAATCTTTAATTTTTCGCATGCCGCTTGTTTTTGTTATTGGCCATTTAAATGTTGTGAGTAGGAGAGCAACGTGTTTCCATAAACACCACCTGACGACCAATTTTAAACCAACCAATTTTTCAAAATTCAATTTTTTGAGGCTCTAGTGAATTCAGTATTATTAAAAAACTGTACTTTTAAAACGACAGAAACCTGTACAAAATTTTAAAATATCATTTTCTATAGATACAAAGTTTAAAAACTTCGTTAAACCATACATTCTACTTGTTATGGTAATGTGAATTAACTTACAATAGCCTAGATCGATTTTGAAAGCCTTTGCCAAATTTGTTTTTCATTGACAATTAAAAGGTGAATAGAATATAGGAGTTAAAAAGGTTTATGTAAATGCCTAAGCACTAACACACCTACGAGTACACAAACACATAATCATTTCCGTCCGTATCATGTTTGTCAGGTTTTTGCTATATGTACCTCTTTATAATTTTGCATCTTAGTAAACAATTTACTGCACTTGCAGTAATAGGAATTACATCAGATCGGGTAAGTCGTAACAATTCCCCGCGAGCTGTGGAAGATATTTGTTTAGATACACTTGCAGATGTACATATGTATTTAGACGAGTACATATATGCAAATTATTTAGTTGGACGCTTGAAATATGCCATAAATTTTCAGTGCATTGGTTGCTTTAATGCCTTTCGGGTTATGCAAGTCCGCCGCGATAAGCGATTCTCTCGGTCGGAAGGGCCTATATAATAGGGCAATTACAAAGTTGCGGTCGCTATTACATTCAGACTTGTTGCGCACTCAGCAAATGTAATAGGCTCCACACAAGTGTTGACAATTCGTTGTGGGTTCTCAAATATTTACTCTTTGATTGTGAATTGTGGCTCTACCCTTCGAGATTCGCTAGGGTTAGCGAGGGGTCTTCGGCAACTTATGTGTATATCAACTTCAAATTGGCCGGCGCATTTTCATTGTTATCAGAACGGAAAAAAGAAAAACTACGAAGCATTTTTTAAATAATTTGGGAAGAAACATAAAATCTAAGATCTAAGTTCTTAGAAGAAACCGACATTGTATGTAATTATCTTTTTAAGCTCTATATTTCAAAGTATGTATGTTGTCTTATTTTGTTCTGTGTTTACATTGGTTATTTTGGAATATATATTTCCTATTTATTAAAGATTATTAAAGACTTATTTCGCCAAAAGAGTTTTAAAACTGTACCTATATAGTGGTACAATTCTCGCTAATATAAGAGTAATTATAGATATGTAATAACATTATAGTTATTGTAAAAACTGCCCACATCTTAATTATTATTTTAATCCAATAGTGTAGCACAGTTGTTTTCTTATATAAGATAATACTATAGTTTTCTTAAAACCCGATAACTTATTAAAAATATACTTAAATATCACACTTGTTTAGCAAATAACATCTGTTAGAGCTAAACATTATTTTTTCATAGCTTCAAAACAACAGCGGGTACGGAAAAATGTAAATCACTTTGGCTTACCATATTTTATTTGAATACTATAGTTTTAAAATAATGAACCTATGTTATCATTCTACTTTCCGATCTTTTGAAAACTGAGACTCCTTAAAACTCCATAATTAACGATAATGAACCTATTTTATCATTCTACTTTCCGATCTTTTGAAAACTGAGACTCCTTAGGACTCCATAATTAACGAAAACTCCTGTAACTAATGATTTTCAGAGGATTTAGCAACAAAATGTCATGTAAAGAAAATGTCATGCTTAAAATTGTGTGTGGCACTTCTCTTGTAAATTATTTTTGTGCGTATTCATCGATAGAATTCTCACTTTGAATCCCATTACTCCAGCTCTTATAGTTCTCGAGATTTATCAAGCTCGGTGCATTTGAATCCAGATGTCAGTTTCTTAAATAAAGAGCATTAAAGCAAGTCAGGTTCGAATAACCAATTGTAGTAGTTTTAAAAACGCGAAGATAAGTAATTTAAATACTGTGCGAAGCGACAGAGCTGCCAAAGAGGGCGGAAGTGCGGAGTGGCAGGCGTCCGCCTCACCCATACAAACGCGCTCACAGTCGGGCTCTGCTTGTGATTCAAACTCCCCTGCATGTGCAGCATGGAGCCACCGTTGCACGTCCTCTCGGTGGCGTCGAAAACCGTTGCACGGCCGCCACGCGAGCAATTTGTCGGACTCTGCCGCTGCGCCGCTTTGCCCTTTTTGAAAGTTGGCAGACCTTCTGGGACTGGGGTTTTGTATGCGGCTCTCGACCGCTTCTGTTGGTGTTGGTCGTTGCCGAAAAGGGATGAAGCTTGAATTTATTGCACCGTCTGACCCCGCGATCCACTCCCCCTTAACAGCAGCAGCGCCGTAGCAGCGCAGCGGCAGAGCAGCGGCAGCGCAGGAAATGCGTTCTGCTCCGCTTTCTTCGCCGCCGAAACGGTGAGGCCTTTCCATACGCTCATTGAAATTGCTTAATTTCTGCGTTCTCCGAACTGTGGGCATTCGTCGGATATTTATACATACGTTACATTATTATTTTTATTTTTGTCTCTGTTATCGTCGTCACAAAAGAAATCTCAGGTCAATACACTTTTCGTAATATCAAGCGTACAGCAAAATAAGATGCATTTTTAGGGGGGGAATGCACTATAGCGTCTAGGAAGCGTACATAACTGAAATAAAATCAAGTAAGTTAAAATAATTACAACTACTTTTTAAATGCCCACTACTTTATGATCTTAGTAACGCAACACCATGTATATATTGATTCATAGATAAATCATGATGATAACCACTCCGATTCTATTCGATTTGGACATTTACAATGTTGGTTTAATCAAAAAGGCGACCCTTGCACGGTGACTGGCAACTCCTGGCTATCGGTTAGCCGTACCTTTGTTAACAAATCTGATGTTCAGCCAGTTCCGACGCATACGTCATCCTGCGAACGGCGGTACGGCGATAAGAACGGAAAGCCGAAACCCACCGACATTTCAAAACCAACGGCCAGCGCAACGTCGACATTTTTTACTTGTGGAAAGATATCATAATAAAAATTTTATTGAGTAAGTTGAGCGGTGCTGAAAGCGTCGCAGTCGACGTCGCTGCCAGCAGAGGCAGCAGCGACGACAACTGCGAGTTCTACAAAAACTGCGAAGGCGGACCACCTTTGCTGAGTGAGCGCCAGCGCTTGTTCATCTGTGTGTGTGTGTGTATATATGAGGGCAGCTGCGTCAAATGCCGGCTCACACACACAGTCACTTTCGGCGGTGGCGTCGCAGACGCAGTCAACGCCTCTGCCGCTGCCGATGCCGCTGCCGCTGTGAGCTTTGTTCTCGGCGAATTTTTCGGTTCTCGTATTTCTTGACGAGCAGGCAACGCGGACGGACGTTCTCCGGGAACTTGGACCTCGAGTAGTTTTAGAAGCCAAAGCTCATCATCTGTGCTCAGTAGCTGCAAATCGCAAAGAACATCCAACGCTCAGCAAGTCGCAATACCAATTGATCTCGTTTGCCTTATAAGAAAGTCAGTGGAAGCGGCTGAAATCTGTTAACCAATATTTTTCCATCGCAAGTGCAATTTCTAAATCAATTTTTTAAGTTGTGTATACATGTTAACTAAAGACTGAAAACCAGTATCAAATACACTCGGCTCTGGCAACGGAAGTCCAACATCGAACAAATAATAAAGAACCGAGCCGAGCCGCAAAAGCAAACTTAGGAAGTGCAAAGAATCAAATACGTTCGTACGTAATGTGTATACCCCCGCATCCGCATACATACACAACAACCTAGGTCAATATCGTTTATAGTGGCGTGTGTGTGTGCGCAAGATAACAACAACGCCGCTAGTTGCCCAGCAGATAATAAATAGCAATCACATAACACTCGCTCATTGGACCACCACCACTCGTGACTAGAACATATTCACGGAAATCGGAAAACAACAACGGGCAACTTCAGCGCCGAGCGCCGAGAGCAGCACGATTCTAAACTTGAAAATAATAATTTTATAATATCACGCCGCGAAGGTTGTCAGCGAGTGCTCGGCCGACGAGAGCCGAGCGCCCCCGAATGCTCCACATCAAGTATACGTACGATCGCCCGCTCAGCGATTTTCAGCTGCGCCAGTGCTAACAAAAACAAAAACAATAACAATAACAATAACAACCTAACAATAACGAAACGGAAAACACAAATGTCCCTCTTCTAACGGTCTCAGTCCCAGTGTATTTTGTAATTGGTCATCGTCGAGCGAGAGAAAGAGAAAGAGAGAACTGTCGCAGCGACTGCGATTACGGTTCTGGTCGTCGAACGCGCCGCAGTGAAAAAGTTTCGGCGGAAAACACTTGCCTCTGGTCGATTTGCGTGTTTGGACGCGCGACTCTTATAGAACTCTTATAGAACTTTAAAATATCTGCGAATCAGCCAACAAGTGTTCACAAATCGCCAACTACATCAGCTCCACTTTGGATTACCCTTCGCAGTGAACAAGGACCTCTATTAACCAATTTACAGGATTTTATGGTGAGCTTCAATTTTTGGGGAATACTTGAATTGGGTTCGCCAATTTTTTTCAAAATTTTATGACTCCATTCCGTTCATTTTAAATTGCTCAAATGTTTTTGCTTTCTTAATAGCAACTAAAATAACAATTATCTCTTATAACAAAAGGTTATATTAATGCATTATATTTATCAATTAATACCCAGAAGAAAGATTTGAGCTAAATACATTTAATATTGTTAAAGATATTAATGTTTTTATTGCTCAACACGTCGTATACGCAATATGGCTTCTCCTAAAATCGTTGCGCTATTTACGTCAAACCGAATGATAAGCTCAGGAAAAGTATCACAACAGATCTATAAATACGTAATCAACAAAAATCACGTATACGCCCCATAATGCAGTAATTTCATAACTTTCCCCGTAGTGAATTACCTAGACTACTTCTTTGATTACCTCAAAGCAGTGTCCCTTGGGCGAATGGCATATTCGGACCATATTCATGATGACTCAAATCTTAAGAACCGACCTTTTGAGTCATCATGACAATAGGCTAATATTAATTGTTCTAGGTATTCACAATTTTTGATAATAGCTCAATCGGTGTTCAAAAGGGGTTTCCTAAGCAAGTGTGACTCATGGCCAGAGGTGAGTCAGCTTCGTCGCCTTAACACTTGACAGGATCATGCGATACAGCTTTGATAAAGAATACATATCAACAGGTGATCTGTTTCACAGAACTTGATTCTCGAACAGAAATTATCAATTGTTTTAGTAATCTTTTGGTTTCGATTTAAACAAAAGGAAACAAATATTCCCAAGGAAATGTAATGTTGTTTAGCATAAAGGAGTATTACAGTAAAGCTTAACCAGTTTTTGTATGCACACAATGATCCTATTCTACAATTACAGAAGTCTGAAGTCCAAATATGTGATAACAACTTCAACCACAAGATATCGAATCCAAGCCATCAGCCTTAGGTTCCGCATTTATCGAAATATTTGCCGATTTTATGTCCGAAGGTCAGTGCCAACGTCAGGCAAAAGAAAATTAAAGCCAATTTGTACAAGCCAAAAAACAACACTCACCAGCCAGTTGCGAAAAATTCTTTTCTGTTTTAATCTCTGGAAATTGATATTGAGGTATTTATGTTCACAGGAAATTGTTGTCGCGGGGCACAAAAACAAAAATACCGATTATAAAGTAAGAACTGAGTACGGTAATTCTGGTATCGCTATCGCTAATATTGGCAAGCTGATTTGATTGGCCTTTCTTTTCGGGTCGCGCTGGCTTGCGTTGTCGTAGCTGCGTTCATTCACGTTCCACCAGGCACTTGCTGAAGTGGCCAACCCAACCGAACTCTTATCACTCGAGTGATATTCAAATGTACGTCTATATGTGGGAGCAGGTGTATCTTGCCTCAGTTTATGAATGGTGCCGTGCTTAGATTATATTTTCACCGGCGGTGGGGAACAGAGAGAGGCGATGCCAGATATATGACCGATATATATGAGACTTACTTCCCGATTATACATATTTTGGCCTTGCGCTGCTGGTGGTTGGAGGAAATAAACACTAGTGATAGTAACTTTCGGTCGATAAAGAAATATCGATAATATCGATATCGATAAAGAAATATATAAATATATAAAGCAGTTGGCTTGTACATAGATATGTATAATGCATAACTTCCTTGTTTGATAAATTAGAACCGAAAAGAGCGATCTGGAATTAATTGATTGATGTAGGCTCTTGGGGAGATTTAATGCCGTTAAGGAATTACATAACTTCCGGCGAAGTGGGAGTTACTGAAGCCTTTCTATATTTGCAGAATTGCCGTCTGCAGTATTTTAAGATGTGTTATCATAGTCTCTTCCATAAACCAAACAACTGCTTTCAGTACTGGCTTTATATTTTTAGAATGTTAAGTGTCTTTGGGACAAAAGTGCACACTGCGATCGAATTTCATCGAAAGCGAATACGTATAAGAAACGAAAGCTTATCGGCCAACTCGGCAATCTCCTATTTCACCCAGAAGTACAAAGTTTTGGGCATATGTTTTCGTGTTCTAATTGGGGAAGACCCAGTCACATGACAAGCTCGTGAGCGCAGAAGGTAAACCTTCGAATTTAGGATGATTAGGCGGCCGACCCTTTGCCTACCCCATTGAGTTTTGTGTTGGAACACACAGAAACCGGCAGGGAGACATTCGCCACTCGGTATATGTATGTATGTATGTATCTTTGGAAGATATGTAGCCACATGTATACATACATACATACATGCATAAGGCAAAAAAGCCATCGAAATATTCTAACGCAAATGAGGAATAAGCAAAAAGCCGGTTCGCAGACATGCGTAGCTGGGCTTGTGTGCGTGTATGTATGTGAGAGCCGTGAGTATATGTATCTGTGTGCGGTGCCGAAATTTCTGTATGTCTACAGGCCCCCAACAGCCACCGTCCCTCCCTCGACCTCCTGCCCCAATCAAATCCGCCATATTTTGTGAATTTCGTTCTGCTGCCGCTCTGGAAGGTTTTTGGAATGGTTTTTGCTGCTATTGCCTGTTTGTTTATCAAGAGAGCTTGTTATACAGCTGTGTTCATAATAATAGCAGTGCAATAGCAACGAAGTAAAACAACGGTAATTTTAGCATATTCCTTTTCGTTAGTTGATCGCTTGATCATTTTTTTTGTAAAATGTAATATAGAGATAGGAAAACTAAAAAAGTTCCATTAGATTTGCTTTTTATTTTCGTTTTTTGGACATTCTTGTGCAAAATCACAAGTTTTTGGCTGTTCATAATAATAGCAGTTTTTCATTTTAATCCACAAAAAGTGCCGAAAACATTAAAAATTTTGCAAAAAGTGAGTTTGCTTGAGTTAATTAATATAATTTAAATGAAAATACACAATAACCATGCAAAAATTTTAATTTTAGTGGGTAGAGGACAACACTGTTCAGAGGAAGAGAGGAATTTGATAGTTCAGCTTAGAAAGCAGGGAAAAACCTATCAACAAATCCAAGATATGGTAAATTGTTTTACCAAAATGGTATCCAATGCCATTTATGGCATCCAATGCCATTTAAATATGATTGGAAGTCCAAAACACGTGGGCCCAAACGAAAAACAACCGATATTAAGGACCGACGAATAGTGTGCTTCAGCAAAGCGAATCCTCTTGCATCTTCTAGGGATGTAAAAGTGGAGCTGAAGTTGGGGATCAGCGACGTCACCATTCACCTTCGATTAGTAAATGGAAATTTAAATGCGCGAAGCCCCCGAAAGGTGCCATTACTTGGTAAAAGGCATATCCAAGCTCGATTGGAGTTTGCCAAAAGCCATTTGTACTGGCCAGTGACGAAATGGCGCAATATTCTTTGGACAGATGAGTCCAAACTGGTCTTGTTTGGTGGGACAGGCTCAAGACAGTATGTCCGACGACCCCCAAACACTGAGTACCACCCAAACCACCCTCTTAAGACCGTTAAGCACGGTGGCCTTAAAATATTGGTATGGGCTTGTTTTTCGTACAGCGGCGTGGGTCGCATACATATGATCTATGGGATCATGGACCAACACGTCTATGTGGACATACTCAAAAATGTTATGCTTCCTTATGCACAGTGGGATATGCCCTTAAAATGGTCATTCCAGCAGGATAACGACCCAAAACATACCACCAAATTGGCTAAGAGCTGGTTTATTCAAGAAAACATTGATGTAATGTCGTGTCCAGCACAGTCCCCGGATTTAAATCCGATTGAAAATTTACGGGGGACATCAAGCGATATGTGGCAAAGAAATCCCCGACTTCAAAGTCGCAGATTTGGCAATTTGTACCGGATGCGTGGGCGCAGATTCCCCCCAAGCGTTGCCAGGACTTGGTGGACTCCATGCCACGTAGGTGTGAAGCTGTAATAGCCAATAAAGGTTTTACGTCAAAAAATTAGTTAATATTTATCATTATTGTTATTTGTATTAAGTTATTCTTAAGATTTGTTAAATTTTTTAATTTTTTTGGTAACACTGCTATTATTATGAACAGCACATTTTGTCGTTATTATTTTGTTATTATGAATATTTTCGAAAAAAATGGAGTTATTAAACTGAAACAAATGTTAACATAATTAAAATTAAATATATTATGTTGATGTAAACCAAATTTGTCCCAATTTAGTGTTTATACTATGATTTTTCGATCTTAAACATTTACGTCATCAGCACTGCTATTATTATGAACACAGCTGTATATGGTAGCTATATATGTATGTATATATATACGTAGGATATCTGCCCGCTCTCCCTCTCCCTCTCGCCGAAAAGGCTTTTGCGTTTTTGATACTTTATAAGTAAACAATTTCGACCTTGGTTAACAATTTTTAAAGCAGTTCTCATTCTTGCTTCTTGTTTCTAATTGCCTGGCAGAATCAGCAATCCTCCTCAAGATTAATTCATTTGTAACTTGCGATTTATGGTAATCACAAGGCCAAGTTCGTATAATATAAATACTGTCAACTATTCGACACGTGCCAGTAAATCTCTGATAAGGATCTTCAGGGTAATAATCATTACTGGGAAAATTTTCAGCGCTGTTATCTAACAGTAGCGCAAATACCAACAAGGCGCTTGTTGATCGTTATTCAGTAATAACCACAAAAGCTGTTATCGGAATTATTTTAGTTTTTAGAACTTACATATATATATTAGTTATATGTACATGTGTGATAAAATTATGCCTGCAAATCTTTGAAGCATTTTACGAGTTTCTTAAATCATAAATGTTTTCGGGCCTACTAAACATTTTATTTTAATGACAAAAGTCTTTAAATGGGATTGCCGAAACCGCAATAAATCTCGGTTTACATATGTACATATGTATCTTTGTGTTTAAGAAACCAGAATACAAAAGAGTTTAAAATTGCTCAATGATTCAATGTTCGTCATAAAAATGATACATTTTCGTGGACAGATTGTAGTTGTGTTCCTGCATATAACAACGATGAGTGCACACATGGATGTACACACATACACACATATATATAATGCGCCCCTGCGCGTTCGGCTGCAGCTGTGTGCATTTGAAAGCGAATTGCACGAGTGTGTGTCTGTTCGCCTGCAAAAAACACAGCCATAAAAACGTTTGCCAAGTTCAAGGACAAGACTGCAGCGACGCGTCACTTTTTGACGCTGCTCGTTGGCTGTACACGAAAAGTCGAGCGCTTTTGTTCGGGCTGCAGGCTGCAGCTCCGTTTCCGCCCGTTTTCCCCTGCATCGCTGCTCTCTGGACGCACCGAGTGTTTACTGTACCGAGCTTCGTTCGAAGGCCAGTTTTCTCTGCTCCGAAATTCAAGTTCAAGGCGACAGTGCTGTCTTCTGCTTCTGCTAACCAAAAGGTAAAGTATAAGGTTAGATAACACATCATTCGGCCGGACTCCATTACTCACAGGATTTTGTGATTGGATCTGAGTTGGGATGATAAAATCACTGATCTCACGATAGTCACTTCTGATTCTGGCTAAATTTCTAACGCCAACTTTTCCAGTCCCTGCCAGTCAACCTGTTAAACGTGTTTTGCCAAAAATAACACACACACTCTCGCTCCTGTTTTGGTGCCTGCAAGATGTGTACATATGTACATATGTATGTATGTACATACCTTTTTTATCGACTCTTCGGAATCTTCAGGCGAGTACCGATCCCGGATTAGTTGAAAGGCAATGGTTGATGTTTGGGTGACATCTAAACGAAAACGAGAAACGGAAACTGGGGGCATCCGTGGGCAGGACCCCAGAAATAATACCCAACCAGTTTCGAGAACACGCCCCCGGGATCGGTTCTTTGATGTTGTTAGTCACTGTGTTATTTGTAATGCCGGAAGCTTTCAGCTAACTCGTTTGCTTCCACGATGCAACTCCAAAAATATCGAGCAGCTTTGGCACTCCCCCAAAAGTTCGCCCGCGTCCGAGTGCCTGTTTATTTTTAAAGCGTCGTAAAAACGTATTTCAATTTGGTTCAAGAACAAAAGGCAGCAGTATGCAAAGTAAATTCAAAATGTCGGCCTGCCCTTTCTTCGGTCACCCCCTTTCGCAGTCGACGGCGACGGCGACGACGCAGCGCTGCTGCAGCGGACAGAGAAAGAATTTCGGCACGTTAAAAAACACTTGTGCACGCCGCCTCTTTGTTGCTGCTGCGTATTGTCTCTTCTTCTTGGATGTGAGCTCGAATCATTTATTGTATTTATTTTAAGGTTTTCACAAAATATTGTGTGTTGACTGTGGTTGTTGCTGCCGCTCTGCTGCGATCTTGTTTGGATCCCCACCCCCGAAAAGCAGTGTTTTGGGGCTACATGCACACACACATTCGACCAATTTTTTGGTTTTCTTTCCTCTACACTTTTTGAAAAAATATCTTTGTGAGCTTTTTTACAGTTCGTTAACCCTTTGCTGGATTGAGGTTGTTCGCTCTGCCGTCATCGACGTCGTTTGACTCCAATGAAAGCGTTTTATCGAGTAGAATTGTAATTAAGGCGTATCAATTTTAGAACATTTTGTAAATGTAATTATGCCTCTTGGCTTTGTAAACAAATGAGTAAGGTGACATTTTGTACAAGGCCATACAAATATACATAAAAATGTATGTTTTTGTATTAAATAAAAGTTTATACTCACTTAAAATAAAATATTTTTCCATTCTTCGATAGAGTTCTAAAGTTTTTAATCCTTCAATGTTTTAAAAAGTATGCAATGCAAAAATTTTTAGAAAAGGAACACCCATACAAAGGCACAGACCGACTGCAGCGCCAACTGCAGCGTCGACGCAGGCAGCGCCAGCAACAGAGCTCAGCTGCACTCTCACACTCCGGATGGGGCGACATTTTGTGTGGCGACTGACACTCTCTCGCTCGCTCTCGCTGTTATCTTGAACTTGAACTACACGTGGAGGGCGTGCATGGGCTTTCGACTCGCTCGCTTGGTAAAGGCAACACAGGCTGCCGTAAGGAGGCCGTGCGCGGCTTTTCGACAGCCACACAATCGATGCGCGTGCTGGCTCGCTCTCCCACTCTCCAGCCTGCCAACTGCCCTCTCTCGGATTCGTTCTCTGCAATGAGTAAGCATGTTGTTTGCGGTGACTGTTGCAGCAACAGCAGCAACAACAACCACACCCAATGTGGGTGGGGGTGGGAGGTCTGAACGAAAGGGAAGGTACTTGGCTGCGCCATTTGTGTGGCAAGCGTGGTAGATACTAAAAAGTGAAAACACGTCATGGGGAGCCAATTCTGCACACGTAATTTTGTATATATGTCCCCGTCTCTATTCAGTATTAGCGTTCTACCGCAAGTATTTAATTTCGCCAACTAGCGCAACGCGAGCTAGAAATATTACGCCACATTTGATAGTTTAGCGACGATGAAACCCCCTGCGCCCCCCAACACCCACTCAAGTGCCTTAGTGTGCGTTGCGTTCTCGCTGAAAGGTGGCTCGCTGCCGCGTGCCTCTGTCGCTTTTTGACCTAGGCCAACCGCTGCGCCCCACGCAAATTGTGCGTGGCTCGTCGGCAACGACGCAGACTGCGGCAGCGACACGGCAGAGGCAGAGGCAGAGGCAGAGCAGCGGCAGCGCAGCTTTAGCTCAGACGTCGTGTCTAGACCTTCGCAATATAAATAAAACACCAAAGACAAATGCTAAAATTTCTGAACCTGGCATGTTCTGCCCAAAACTCTCTCATTGTCATATTTCTTTTGATAAGAATAAAGTGATTAGTGGGATGTAAAACCGTTTGTAAAATCAACATTTATATCAAAATAACAGTGTTAGATAACATATTACATTGCAAACTTGATTTAAAAATAAAGGTAATCACGTCTAAGTCTATTCTTCCGGCCAAATGTCGCCCAGTCACTTGAATTTCAGCTGTTCAGGTATCTTATCGCTTGAATAGTTCTTCTTTGGTAAGGCTGCTTTCATACAGACGTATTTATGTATAGAATTTCATTGAGGAGCCTTTCACTGAATACCAAAACTACGGACATTTTCGGCCATATCGCTTTATCTTATCGGGCGAGCTCATCGAACTTTTGCTAGAAAACTGAGAGCTGGTAAAAATATGTATCTAAATATGTATCGCGCGGTGGAATGGATACTTTGGACAGAAGCTGAATTTACCCAGAAATAAGTTCATAAACAAATCGGCGGGCGACAGGGGAATCGGCGTGGAAAGAGGGAGAAAGAGAGAGAGAAAAGCTTACAGTTTGCTTATATTTAAATGTTCAATGACCTCAACAAAAGTCCACAAAGAAGATACCAAAAACCAACGCCGAACCCAAACCCCCAACTCAAAAGATCTGTGTGTATCTTTGTATATGTATGTATGTATGTATGTATGCACGTGGAAGTAAGCAAGAGCAGATCCGAAGCTTAACTGCAGATAGTTTTGTCAATTAGTAAATAAATCTGAAAATGTAGTCATTTAAAACGAAGCTCCTATACTTAATTGGTTATTTTTAATAACAAAAGTTAAAATCAACTTATTTTTTATTTTTAATTGGTTGTTGTAAAATAACAAATACATAAGTATTAACAAGTTAGAAAACAACTATCCAGTGTTGTAAATGGCGTGCACAAATAGTGTTCAAAACCTTAAAGTGGCTTTAAAAATTTGAGCTGCAAAAAACCTAGGATTCAACTTTTATAAGCGAAGCATATTTACTTTGTTAATTTTATTCTTTTAATGCTATGCCTCCATTTTTTTATATAAAAATTGGTTATCCCCTCCTTTTTCAAGCAACTTTACTGATCTATCCAAACACGATCACCGTCGACTCAGAGACCAGTTTCCAGTCGGCTTTGTTTCTGAACTATCCCAACAAAATAACGGCAGTTCAACTCTTTCAAAGAACAGCTGTTACCTTTCTTTCGGTTTCTCCTTCTTCTCCTTCTTCTTCTTCCCGATCGCTGGCCGAGCGTTTTGTGGTGCACGGGCGGGCATCCACTTAAGCTCATAATAGATAAATGTTGTTTCCTCCGAAATTTGGTTCGTTCTTACCTTCAGAAACTTTTTGGTCGGGTAGCCAGAAGAAGAATGAGCGCGAGGGGGTAATGGGGGGAACGATCATGCTGTCTCTCCAACCTCGCTCGCTCAGAAATAGTTTTTGTGTCGAATGTTAATGAACTTTTGCGCTAGTTTAACGCACAGCCGAATAAACACCAGCCACAATAACAACGAAAGCTGATAAAGTTTTTTGAACTTGCCTTCACAGAAACTTTTTGTGTTTCAACATTTGCTTCTCGTGCTCATTCTGCCTTTATGGGGTTTCCTATAAATGTTTAGTTGTCGAAGGTGGAAACTGGTATTTGGCTTTCTATAGGAAAGAGATCCCTTGGAGGAAGAATCTGTTGTTGACAAAAGAAATGGTTTCCTTAATTTGCCATTATAAAATGTCTAGAATTATTAATTTTGTAACACTTATTGGCTTAATAAGAAAATCATATAAAAAATTTGTCCATTTGGTCAATTTGTTGCTTTGGCGGTTGATTAGTTGCATCAGAATAATAGTTTAAGATTCATTTTCTTTTTTAATTTTCATTAGGAAACGGCTTTTAATATGTGACTGATAGCATATGTAGATACGAATCTGTTTTTCCTTTTATAGCAGCTCATTCCCGGAGCTCAGGGAAATTTCGGAGTGCTATAAATATGCACTTATCTCAAAGTCGTAAAACACTCAAACAGAGAACCACTCGGAATTCCCCCCCGACTTTGCACTCAAACATATTCCAATTGAGGGAAATTTCAGATCTAATGGGAACATTCTTTTTGGTGGTTGGTTTTTCCGTGTCGAGGTCTTTCCTGGTTTGAGGCCGATTTTCCGGCAACTCACCCACCAGTCCCCGTTACACCATCGAACCGAGAACCTCGAGAGCGGCGATGTGAACATTTTCCGATTCCCATTCTACTCGACTTGTGTTTGTGTTCGTGCGTGTGCCGTGTTGTGCGTTTGAGTGTGGTGCACACCTCTAAGATGACTGATTTTTCAATGAACGATATCTTGAGATCGTTTAGGAAAATGCGCATGAATAAGGGCTCTGGCCAAGGCGGTCATCATCAATACCGCAACCATCAGCAGCAGCCCCCGCAAAGCATCCAGGCCTACCAGCACACCAATCCTGCGCAGCAGTCGAAGGACTTGAAGAAAATCATCAAAATCATCAAGAAGAACTTGATCAAGGAAAAGATCACTCGTCAGATGAAGATTCTGGTCTGAAGATGTCGTGACTAAGCCCAAAAACTAGACTTTCAATCAAACTGAATGCATAATAATCCTAAGACTGCTGATATATAAATCCAAGGACTGACAACCTTCAACTGAAAGAGGTTCAGCTAAAGTCTGATTTTGCAACCAAATCAATGAATCGATTTACCACTATACTATACTATACTATACTTTTTAAACGAAACGATCTCTACCAATTCACAACATAACTGGGAGACTTTACAGCTTCCTATGTAACGAATGCACTTTAACAATCGATAAGTAAAGTTAGGAAGCTTGTGCATCGAAAACAAGATGACTGAGAGCAAGAATGATACAAAAACCTGGGCACCCAAGCAAATTTGGATTAAAGATGTTCGCAACAAATCGGGCAGCCAGTTACTGGACATTCCCAGAACTCAGGCAAAGGCTGCCCTCAAGAAATCGTCGGCAAAAGGTAACCAAGTTTTGTTCCGGAAAAGTCCAGACCAAAAAGTTTTCTCACGACGCCATTTTGTTTTGGTATACGCAATTTTGGATTTGGATTTGGGGAGGGTGTTGGGGTTCATACTATCACAACAACAAACAGCACTGGGAGGTGGGAGGTGGAAAGCGTGAGAGAGCAGAAGGGCCGTGCGAATGCCGGTTGAAGACCCGCAGGGTTCACAATAGTGTCTCCCAAAAATCCCAACAAGGAAATTCACAGTACGCGGTTCTCAATGAAAATCTTACCCACTCCCCTCGCTCGCTCTCTCCCTCTCTTTCTCTCTCCTACACTTTCCCTCTCTGCCGCAAGCTTGTGCGCTTTCCTTTTGGAAAAACTCCGGCCGGCAATAACAGAAGTGCGTAGAATGAGTTCAGGGGTGGGTTTCCCCTTTGCTCGTAGCCACCTTTTCCTAACCACCCGTTCGAGAAGTGTTCAATCTGTTTGGGGTTTGTGTTTTTCTTCGTCTCTTGAGGCGTAGAATACGGATCGGTCGAACCTGTTCCGCAGGTTAACCAAGAACGGTGAGGTAGATTTTAACTGGATTGAAGCTTTTTTATTGCAAGGATGCATAGGAAATATCTCATCTACATATGTATGCAATAGACTGAAAACTCTTTTGGGCCTTAGTTGATTTATCTAGCTATTCTAGTTAAAATATTAAAGCAAAGATATGACTGATACCGCAAACCTTTCACAAATGTCGATTAACGACTCCATTCGACTCCCATTAGCTTGTCAGCGCCCAATCCTAATCTCGTCTAACCCCCTTCGTCGCCTTGTTGCAGATTCATCCACAACCAACATGGTCTACTACTCCGCCAACCAGCTGCTCATAAAGACGGAACAGTCCAGTCAGGCGCAGCTCTGCCTCCAGGTGCCGCCTCCCCTGACGGCGACGACCTCGGGCGTGGGCCTCGGAGCGCCTCCGACCGGCGGGCAGCAGGAGCAGTTCGAGCTGTTGCAGACGCCCCAGCAGCGGCAACTGCAACTTCAGCTGCAGGACCAGCACCACCAGCATCAGCAGCACCACCAGAACCACCAGGAGCAGCAGCAGTACGCCAGCTACCAGCTGGCCATCCAGCAGCAGAAGCAGCAGCAGCAACATGAAAGTATTACGTCGACGACCCCGACGGTGGGTCGGATCAAGACGGAGCCGTGCGCCGGGTTCCCCGCAACAGCGGCGGCGGCGGCGGCGCAGGGCCGGAAGCCGAGCGCCCCCAAGCCGCAGTTCAAGTGCGAGCAGTGCGGCATGACCTTCGGCAGCAAGTCGGCCCACACCTCGCACACGAAGTCGCACGCCAAGAACGCGGACCTCTCCTTGAACGGGGGAAGCGGGGTGGTCGGCGGGGCAGCGGCAACCTCCTCGTCCGCGGCCATCGAGCTGAACGACGCGGGGCTGCCGGTGGGCATTCCCAAGAGCCCGACCATCAAGCCGCTGGCCAACGTGGCCGCCGGAGCCGATCCCTACCAGTGCAACGTGTGCCAGAAGACCTTCGCGGTGCCCGCCAGGCTGGTAAGTAATGCCTAAACCGTAGATACTCTACTGACGCAAGACTGCTTTGCAACTTTCTTGAAAGTTCGTGGACACGATCAGACAAATTCTAAGTTTTTCAGAACTCTGAAATCCTCTTTGTTGACCATAAAGACAGTTAGTGTGTCCCCTTGGCTTCCAGTAGTTTAAACAGCCTATGCTAAACTTAAGAACTGACAACTTTTGAAGAGTGTTTGAACAAGAGCTTTAGCTTGGACGGCCGACGTTATAAGTCCTTTCAGGTTACAAAATATACGCAAGATTACAAATACACGACCGACGAAGTTATTGAACTCTATCAAACATAATGGGTGCTCCTTGTAATCGTGCAAATCTTGGTGCTCTAACAACGATGGTAACCCCTTTCAGATCCGCCACTACCGCACCCACACTGGCGAGCGGCCGTTCGAGTGCGAGTTCTGCCACAAGCTGTTCAGCGTGAAGGAGAACCTGCAGGTGCACCGGCGCATCCACACCAAGGAGCGGCCGTACAAGTGCGACGTCTGCGGACGGGCCTTCGAGCACTCCGGGAAGCTGCACCGCCACATGCGCATCCACACCGGCGAGCGGCCGCACAAGTGCTCCGTCTGCGAGAAGACGTTCATCCAGTCCGGCCAGCTGGTGATCCACATGCGCACGCACACCGGCGAGAAGCCGTACAAGTGCCCGGAGCCGGGCTGCGGCAAGGGCTTCACCTGCTCCAAGCAGCTCAAGGTGCACTCGCGGACGCACACGGGCGAAAAGCCCTACCACTGCGACATCTGCTTCCGCGACTTCGGCTACAACCACGTGCTCAAGCTGCACCGCGTGCAGCACTACGGCTCCAAGTGCTACAAGTGCACCATCTGCGACGAGACCTTCAAGAACAAGAAGGAGATGGAGGCGCACATCAAGGGCCACGCCAACGAGATTCCCGACGACGACGCAGAAGCGGAGGCTTCGGCGGCAACGGTCTCTGCGTCCGCATCCGGTTCTGGATCCGGATCCGCGAACTCCTCTGCCGGCTCGCCTTCCCTGCAGGGAGTCAGCAGCAATTCCGAGAGCAGCAACCCCTCGCCGCCCAGCTCGCCGCCGGCCACGAAGAAGCCTCGCCAGGCGCGCCAGCCGCGGGGCTCCAAGGCCCTGGCGGCAGCTCCCTCCATCGCCTCCTCCGCACCACTCTCGCCGAGCTCGCTGAGCTCCACGTACTCGCCCTCGGCCAGCAGCCTCGCCTCGCCGCCGCCCAGCTCGGGCCACTACCTGCCCGCCCAGCTGGAGGCGGACGCCGTGAGCCGCGACAGCGGTGTGTCGAGCGCCCAGCCCGCCCACGGCGGCTTCGCGGACGAGGAGCTCCCCACGGACCTGAGCATGCAGCAGCAGGGTCAGACGCCCCCGCAGACCTTGGCTGGCTACTACCAGGCCCCACCGAGCCTCCTGGAGCTCCAGCCCCAGGCTCAGGCTCAGGTTCAGGCTCTGGCTCAAGCTCAAGCCCAGGTCCAGGCTCCTGGCCTCACGATCAACCCCGCCCTGCTGGAAGCGGCCAACATGGCCCGTCGCCACCACGAGAACGACGACCAGGTGCAGGACGAGGACGTGCACGCAGCCGCCTGGCAGATGATGCAGCTGCGCCGGGGCCACGGCTCCCTGCCCCCGACGGAGCCGCATGCGCAGACCCACCAGCCCCAGGTGCCCACTCTGCACGTCAGCGACCTGGCCGCCAACTACGACGACACCCACGAAGCCACCGTGCTGATCGAGCACTTCAAGCGGGGGGATCTCGCTCGCCACGGACTGCACAAAGGCTATGCGCCCGTACCCAAATATCAGTGAGTACCACCCATGCATTTCTCTAGGGGATTCGCTGGCGGTCTCAGCTTGGGGTAGGAAGCCCTCATATAAATGAAAGCATGTTCCAATGCTTTTTGGGTTTATAGGTTTCGAATTCACTCAGGGGATTTATGAAACAATCTGCTTAAAAACATAAATATCTTTTAATAAGAATCTTACTGGAGATATTAAGCAAGACCTGAATGATCCTTTAGGGGATTCGCTGGCGATCTCAGCTCTTTGTCCCTCGTTGGGGTAGGAAGCCCTCCTTTAAATGAAAGCACGTTCTAATGCTTTTCGGGTTTATAAGTTTCGAATTCACTGAGGGGCTTTATGAAACAATCTGCTAAAAAACGTAAATATCTTTTAATAAGAATCTTAATGGAGATATTAAGCAAGTCCTGAATGAGACTTTTGCAGATTTATTGAGAGTTATCAGCTTCTAACCGCGTTCCATTTGCTTTTCCCTTGCAGGTCCGCTCTCCCGAACCCCGACATCGTGCGACGCGTGGAGGCGGCAATCGGCCTGCGCTCCAGCACGGAGTCCCCCGAGCGGAGCTCCTCGCCGGAGAGTGACTCCCTGATGATGGCCGATCGCAACGTGATGACGCTGCCGCTGCGCAAGCGCAAACACTACATGAACAAGGGCGACGACTGCCAGCTGGAGTCGGAGAAGGCCCTGGGTTCCGGAGGAGACGGGTCCGCCTCCGCCGGTGCCGCAGCTGCGGTTGGCGCCGGGGAAGGACCCGGGTCGAAGGTGATGCGAATGAGCTCGGTCATCCAGTTCGCCAAGGCCTCTTAGGGGTCCGCGGCCGCTCCCCAATCAGCATTAAGACTGTCCAAACAAATTCTAACTGAAATTAGCTTAAGTTTTTTCTCCGAGGTTAAAGGTTAGGCCAAGAAAAAAAGAAAAAGAGAAAGAAAGAGAGATAGAGCAGGAGAGAGGGAGATAATTTTCTAGCAATGAAAATGAAAAGAAAATGCCAAAAGTATTATAAAAAGAGAAATTTGTTTTTAAATTACTATTACTTCCTATTACGTTTTACTGGAACTTAAGGCGGCTTGTTCCGATTTTTGTTGAATGTTTGCTTTGAACAATTCTCCTCCCACCACTGTAAAATTTTCATTTCAATTTGGCAAGTATAGTTTGTTTTCCTGTGTTGTCACTTAGTCAAATTGCAGCAATTGGCATTATGCGTATTAAGCATTAGCATATGTAACTAAGTTAAATATATTATATATACATAAGATCACTTAACCAGACCCAATCCCTAATTATACAACTAATAATAAAAAGGTATGCAAAGGCGGCCATATTGGCACAGAATATTTATAAATACGATTAACACCTATTTATTGTCGAGATGAACTCTGCTCGCCAAACTTTGACCTTCCCCTCCAAAATTTGAGTCAGCACCATCGTCGACATCAAGTATCCATAATTTTATATGCATTTTATATCTGATATGTAATGGCACATAGACACTAACTAAGAGCGTAATGAAACGGATTGGTAATTTTAATTTTACAACGGAGAATATTGAACTGATAAATAAAAAGAAAGCAAGCATAATTAGGTTTATACATTTTCAAACATCAAATTTAAATTTAGTGCGCCAGTACATAATTTTTGTAAACGCAGAGTTAATATTTAGGTCTGAATTGTAAAATCAAATATTGCAAAACGCAAATGAAATCAGAAAGTCAATAAACAAGCATGGATTAATAAATAAAAAACGTACGAATCGATTCACTTTCCACCTTATTTCGGGCTAATCGAAGACCTGCCTATCACGAAAAAAGAGTTAAGGAAGTAGCCTTTATAATCAGTCTCAAAAGTTTTAATGCATTTATCGCGTGAGGCTGAAGTCTATATATTTCAGGTGTGGCAAAATGTGTCTCACCTGTTGCTCAAATAAATAGAAACTATTGTCTGCATATAGTATGCATATAGTAATGCATTCCTGTATCGCGACCGGGATAAATATCAAGCGAATATGGATTATCTGATCACGAGACAAGATGTCTTACTATGTATATACTTTCGAGCCCGTTGAGACCAATTAAGTGGAGATGTGTTTCTTGTGCGTCTCGTGAGTTTATAAGAGTTCAACATCTTCTTTTTCCTGCTCCGCCTGCAATGGCGTTGGGGAAAACCCACATGCACTATCAGAGTTACTTCCCCAAAATGGGCATCCTTATGGAGTACTAGTCCCACACGGAGTTTTGGAGCTTCAGCCGTCTTGGTCGCCACTTTTAGTCTTCCAATCTACCAATCAGGGTCCTCTGTTTAGCAGTCGATACTTCTCCGAACTCTAACCTTTTTGCTACCACGGAGAACAAAACTTTGATCGATGTCGCTTTCTTGACTACGACTTTAAAGCACGAGGACTTCGCAAAGCCCACCGACTTCTACTTGCGCCCATTGACGATGCAGATCGATTATTTACGACTTTTTTCACGAGTATCTCGGATAATTAGGGTACCAACTTTACTAGTGTGATCATTATGACTTTATATTATATATAAGATAATGGCACACTTGAGGCAAAGTTCCTTATTCTCGTTCCCTTGACACACTCTGAGCTCCACGATGACTTTAATTAATCCAGATTGCCAGCAGAGAATTATTTAAGGATATTGGAAAACAAGTAAATTATTATGAACCACACGTTTACTTTGCTCTTGTCCAATCACGGATTTCAGAGTGGGGCTTTTCAACGTGAAAATATTGAGAACAACCGTGGGATCATTTGTTTCCGGTTCAGATCGCAAGGAATGTCGAAGTGCAGTGATATCTCTACACTATTGCCGACCACGGAAGTGGGTCCAAGAGGCCGCGTCCAAGAGGCTGCTCTCCTCTCAATGATCTCCAGAAGCTCAAGCGAGAGATTTTGGTCCGACTGCGGACGTTTTCTGGAGAGGGACACTTTGATGCGACGGATTTGGCAGCGCGGAATGGGGGCCCTGAAGCTAAACGGTCCTGTGACAAGGAAATACTTATATAGACATCAATCTGCCATAGCATTCAAGACTACCGCGTCGAAATGTGTTAGCTTTGGGTAGAGTGAGGCTTTCGGTAATGCATTTTAAGAAGGGATATGAACCATGGATCTGTGCTCTCAAATTTGCAAAATATCGATCATTTAAATAAATATTTTTCCAGCTGAGATTATAGATTTATTTTGAACAAAAAATTTTTCCTAAATAGTGGACGCAAGCGGAATCGTCTGTTAATTTAAATAAAAATTTTCAGAAAAAAACTATTGCAACCAGTGGCGTAACTATACCCTCTGGGGCCCGTGGCAAATTTTTTTGATGGGGCCCTGTCATTTTAATAAACCCTTTAAGTAGTTATTGGACACTGTATACATTTATATAGATACAGAACTTAAAATATTGATATTTATATTATCAATTCAAATAAAATACACAGGTTCTTACAACACATAGAACAAAAAAAACTGAGCTAGCAGCCTCTTGAGCCGGGGCCCTCTTGGGTCGGGGGCCCGTGGCATTTGGCCACCTCTGCCACCCTATAGTTACGCCACTGATTGCAACCCAGGCAAAGACATTTGTTTGTGTCTGCAATGAACATCGAGAACGAAGCCACAGGTGTGCAAGGACCTTTCTTATTTAAGGGGGGCTTCTCATGTAACATGTGAAAAAGTAGTTGTTTTTTTGGGAATTTTTTTCACTTGGAAAATGAAAACTTACACAAATAATTTTTGCATATATTTGAAGACATGTTTAAAGTATGAGAAAAACATTTTTTGAAAATTCTAAAAAACAAAATGGCGGACTTATTCAAGGTCGCGTGTGGCTCGACGCGGCTGAGGGACTTATTGCGGTACAGTGTGGAGCCCAAAGTTTTCATCTTTAACATATAAAAATTTTTTTTATTATTCAGCAAGGTTCCCCCGAGTGCATGAATGTCTGCAACTTCAAAAAATTCGATTTTAAAATATTGAAATCACGTCTTGAAAAAAAATGCCATTTTTTGTCTTTTTTTTTGCTGAATTGGGCTGAAAAGCGTATAAAATAAATTTTTTTTCACAATTTCAGATATTCATGCACTCGTTCAATGTATAATCTGCAAAACACTTTTTAGAAATCAAAAATCGGTTCTGTAGTTTTTTCGTAATCGTGTACCGCGTTTTTAAAATCATAGTTTTGAGAAAAAACGATTTAAAATTTTGAGTTAGCACACAAAGCGCGCCCGAGCGCGCTCGTTCAATCACTCATATTTTCCATAATATTGAGAGTTGAATCATAAAACTTCGGGAATATACTCTCCAGACGTTATTCTATCGATTTATGAAAATAAAAAAAATCGATTTTTTTTTAAATTTTACATGAGAAGCCCCCCTTAAGTTATTTTGGGTTTCCAATTATAAATTTTAAACAGAGCTATAATTGAATTTGAGCAGAAGTTAAAAGGTAACCTTTAAAAAATCGGGTCGCAAGATTTTTTATAAATAAATTGATACCCCAAAGACAGCTTTATGAAACTACGTTTTTGCCTACGTATATACAACACTTTTTGCGCATGGCAGGCTGATTGATTGTGGTATCTTAAGGCCGGGAAGGTATTATGCGTCTTCTTCCTCGTTCTGTAGTATAAATGTATATATTGTCTTTTCCATAGCTGAAAGATTTACCTAAAAAATTGACTAAAGAAATGGAACATCGGAACAATATTGTTTATATCATTCAATTGTGACTATAAGGTTGGTGTGCTACACCCACCACAGTTCGATTATCTAACATTATGATTATAAAAATAAATGTACATTTCATTAACCTGCTAGTGCGGCAGTCACCTGTTTGTTTTATAATTAAATACCATTTAATTAAACAAAAATGTACAACTGGCGGAGCTGCCAAACGAGCAACTCTTCGTCTACGGGGGCTAGAGAGATAAGCAAATTATGGTACAACTAAGCGAACATTGCAATTAGTATAGGAGATAAGGCAGCCGGCACAAACTATACACTTAAATTAATTAACCAGATGGAGGGTGGGACAAGGCGGAGTGCTAAAGAGACTTGTGGCTTATTGAAGAACTAAACCCTGTTTACAAACTAACGATGCAAATTAATTTAACTCTCTTCTTTCCATTGAATATCAGATCCCAATGTAGGAGCAAAGCACGAACACGGCGAAGATCATGACGATCAGAAAGGCAATGCCAACCCAGGCGGGGATTGTACCTAAAAGAATGCGAAGCAACGTGAGATCATTTTCAGTATGTTTGCTTTCCTGCTTACGCCTTTGCGGTAGACTGTGGATGCAGACTTTGTTGTCCACGGAAATGGACAGCACGGCTGCTTCAGTATCGCTGGAGATGGGCGGTCCCTCCTCGTTGGTGATGGGCAGGAACTGAAGTCCCGTGACGAACATGGAGTGTGCATGGGGAATGTGGAGCACGCGCTGCAACGTACGGAGGTGGTGAAATTTAGTCGCCGACAACTCATGACTAGTGGTCAGTGGTCAGTGCTCACCTGCAGGCTGAACGCTATGTACATGGAGACGCTGCCCGAGAACATGGTTCCAACGGCTACGAACCGCCCGTCGTCCCGCACCGCGAGGGATGAGAGGCTCTCGTCGATGGCGACCGACTGGCGCAGTTGTCCGCTGGCACAGTCCCAGTGCTGCAGGAAGCCCCGCTGCCGGCCCACCTTGCCCAGCGGATTCGCGATGGTGAAGAGGCGGAAGTGGTCCTTCTGCGCCTCCACAGTCCCGTACCGGCATCGCTTGAACAGGTACTTGGCCCCCTCGGGCGTTTTCCATTGGAGCTTGTGCTGCAGCTGGCCGCTCTGCAGGTCCCACACCAATCCCTGGGCATCCTTCGATATGCTGGCAATGAGCTTGCTGTTGGGACTGAAGTCCAGGTCGTCGATCTCCTTGCTGTGCGCGGCCAGCTCTGCGGCCAGAGTCATCTGGGGAAAGGTCCAGACGCGCAACTTTCCGTCCGTGCCGCCGGTGGCCATCAGTCGACCGTTGCCGCTAATGCGTACTACGCGCTGCAAGGGCTCGCCCCCTTGAGGAAGTCCGTCTGCACCACGTCCGCTGCCTGAATGTCGAAGTGCAGTCGCTGGAACTGGCGCAGTATGTCGGCTGTGGAGAGGGGCGGCTTATGCCCGTTGGCCACCGGCTCCACGCCAGAGTGCGCGTTGCGCTGTCGCAAATTGCCGTTCTCGTGCGGCCGTTCTGTCGGCGCAGGCTTTCCTTCTCCGCTCGCGACTCCGTTCCCGTTGCCATCCTCCTCGGACTGAACGCGCGGCTGGACGTAGTACATCTGGCAGTGCGCCTCCTGGCCGGCGCAGAGGTAGGCCCTCCTGCCGCCGTTGCGCACGGCGAAGTTCATCACCACGTTGGCGCCCGTCTCGTGGCGCAGCACCTCCTCTGCGCAGAAGTGGCTCCCGTTGTGGTACAGCTCGTAGATCTCCTGGAAAAAAAACAGAGTGCCGTCAGACCAGAGCGAAGGACGCAAAGCCTGCGGGCAGCGCTTACAAAGCCGTTCGCCACTCCAGTCTTGCTAGAGCCACCGCCACCGGCCACAAGGATGTGGCGGCTGGTCAACATGTCCACGGCGTACAGCGGGAAGTTCACACGGGCCAGCAGGCCGTCGCTGGGACGGCGGGTGGGGGCCATCATCAATAATGAATGGCTATCGACCAGAGGAAACGGGGGCTGGGGTTGTGGTTGTGGTGGACTCGAGCTGATCAGCGCTGGCTGTGGGCAGGCACATTTACTTGGGTCGACCGCCGACGCTTTCCGGCTGTTATCTGGCTGGGGATTTCTGGTTCGATTCAGTGGCCGCTTTTCATCGGAACCTAGTTTATATTGTGTTTTGGATCTAAGAAAGCTGCCTTAAAATCCACGTACACTGAAAAGCGATGACATGGAGAGCTATCGATATATCGATACACAATTGCAAAATGCTCAGTAGCGGACATAAGCCAACTAGTTTTCCTTAGACACATTCTGGTACTAAATATATGGTACGTGTTGTTAAATTTTTATTATTTATAATTTTGCAATTGGGTTTAAAAAAAGATATCAGTGATAATTAAATTGGTTACATCAGTAACATAACAGTCAGGTCTTGTAAGTACCGGGCTGGGGCTGCCAGATCGTTGAATTAAATACCATCTGATGGTCATCGATACCAGATGAGTACTTTAGAAAACTTATCGAAATGAGTAACGAACTTCGGTAAGCAATTGAAATTAAAACCAAATAAGCAGAACACAATTTCTAACTCGCCTTAATATGCATTTTCCTAATTTACGACTTTCTTCAATGAGTCTTTTGTTTCAGATTAATGCTTCTATTTTTTAGTTTTTAATTTTTTTTTTCATTTGCATACATAGATGTAATATTTGCATAGATATAAAAACATAACAACACATTTTATTCAGTTATCAAGTTACAAAAGCTGCAGTAATAAGCAATGATGAAGTGCACGTTGTGTAAATACTTTTGACCACCTATTTATGCTTATTACCTGTTGCAGAAACTTTCGGGGTACATTCCTTATGGGAAGGCGATTGTTTCCTATTATACTCGAAAATATTATTTTAACTTAAATCTAATTAGAAAAGTTTAGCAGTAAATATAGATGTTAGTTTTAAGTTCAAGGGTATATAAACTTCGGCCTGCCAAAGCTTTCCGCTTTTATAACTTTACTGTAGATTATGCTGGATTTTTGTAATAATTTTGCGTTTTTTTTAAATGTTATTTTCTGAGCATTTTGTTTAGTATTCCATTTTTCCCTTTCTTTGGTCTTCTTGAGATATGTGAACATTTTGTATTACTTTTTCTTTGTTTTAAGTAAATCAAAAGCCTGTTGGAGCTGATGGAGTAAAAACAGTCAATGGACTATCTACGCATCTGAACTAGTTTCGTTACATTTATATCTCTAGTGCGTGAACAAGTTTTTCCGACAAATTTCACTTTTTACTATGCTTTGGCGGCTTAAGTATCAACAATATTTTAAGTCCAGAAAGCATCGTTGAGGAAAAGTATATGACCTATCCCAAAACCCTACATTTTAATTAATTCTAGGATACTCAATTCTCGAAACAGTAAAAATGAAAAGGGTTATATAAATTATTATCTCACTTTTTTACAAATACACAATAATGTAATTTTCAAATTATCTAAAAGGCTTAGTTTTTTGATATAACAAAAGTTCGGTCAGCTCTTTTCATCTTAATAGCTGATATTTAAAGCTTTAAGTTTAAAAATGCACGTGGAGCAACTGTCCCTTGCTTGACAATGAAATTAAAATTTAAAAGTACATACATATGTACAATTAAAAACAAATTCCAGTTAAATGTTAAATAAATAAACAAAAGCGCCACGACTCTTCACACATGCCGTCTCTCTCCCACTCGCCCAGCTTCTCGACCAACAACAAAGCACAGTCGGTGTTTACCGACTGAGACGCTGCGTCGCTGCTGTCGTTTTCTTTACTAAAAATTCAAATTATGTACATTTAACTATCATCCTCTGCGTCTAAGCTATGCGAACAACGATTTTAACTCTGATTTTAACCTTTCTTGGGTTTTCGGCTGAGAGGTGGGTTATCATTTGTTTTGCTAGGCGTTGACATAAGCTTTTGAAAAAATCATTGTTTGAAAAGTTCAGATGCAGAAGCTGTAAGTTAGGTTCAAAATGTCTCGCCATCAACTTGGAAAAATTTTAAATTAATTTGAAGGTAAATAATAGGACACAAAATTTTGCCGATATTGGGGTTTGCCCGCACCGCATTTTCAAAACTTTTAAGCTGACTCTACCAAGTATAGATGGCAAGCCGAAGTTTATATAGCCTTGCAGTCATCAAATGTGTCGATCAAAATGCATAAAGGCTAAACAACATCGAAGCTTTGACGATTTTTCTATTAATTTTCCATATTTTCGACTATTGTTCATATGTCAGCTATATTATATAGTTGTCCTATTTTGATAAAATGTAATTCGTAGTTCAAGAGTCGTTAGAAAACTCTATATTTAAAACATCATGCTTGTCTGATGAAAAACAGCGATGTTATAATTTTATTTCCGTTAGATTTTTTGATCTTTCCTATGACAGCTATATAATAAAGTTATACGACTTTGATAAAATTTAATGCGAAATTCAGTAGTAGTTAGAACAAGTTAGAAAAAACAGTTTTAAAAAATGTAAATATTTTAAGAGCTTTAAAAGCTTTTAAAGCTGTGAGATTTAAGAATTGTTCTTTGTGTATGCACAAGATTATACGATAAAAAGGTGAATTCAATGCCACAAAAACCTACCACTTACCACACTTACCACTCATTCGTGAAGTTTTCGCCGACGCGATCGCAACGGAGAAAAGCTGCAGAAGGTTTCTAAAAATTGCTTTAACTAACATTTTAAAAGTGTCAAAGTGACTGTCGTCTTCTGATAAGTTTTAAAAATTGTGCGTGTGCAGACTAATTTTATTGAAGATCATTTTTCATGTACGTATAAACTCATATATACGTATGAACTTTTTCCTTAGTCTCTGAATGCAATCTGGTTTGATCCGGGCAATATCCCTTTTTTCCCCACTGCGCAATTGCACCAACAGCACCTTTGCGCCAGCGCACAATGGGACATTTGATAACTTTTTTGGCCGAAACCGTTTTTTAAAAGTTGTTCAATTTATTTTAATCGTCTTGGGTAGGATAACAATAATCTACAATAACCTACAAAGAGATTCAAGACCTCTTCATTTTAAAACTTGGTTTAATGTTGTGTAAAGTATTCAATTCTAATTATGCTCAGTAAATAAAAAAGTGCACTTTTGCACTAGGATAACAATTTTTTTTTTTACATATTTAGTTTTTCAATTCTTGTCAGAAAACCAAAGAACAATTTTTTTTATACATTTTTTAAATTAAAATTTAATTTTAAATCTTAAAAAAGGACAAAGACCCGCACATTTTACATAAAAAGTGTCCTTTTTTATTATTTACTGAAATTTAAAAACAGATTCCAAAATGCTGTTTAGTTTTGAAGTTATTATTCAATGCCACAAAAAGTGGTCGTTCGTCCCATTGTTCAGCGCCGTTGTGTTTTGTTTTGCCTTTGTGTCTCTTCTTGTTTCCCGTAACAATGCGTACATATGTGTGTGTGCATCGTGTGGTGGATATACTTACTCTCGCAAAAAGTACTCTGCTTTCCGTATCTGGATTGAAACTCAGAAAAAGGGCATTATCGAAGGGTTGATAGGGTCACACATGCAGCGATCCACTGCTTGTACAAATCGGCTAAGTATCTTCTTTGCAAAAATGTGATAGCAGTTTTTAACGCAGAATACATACATACATGCATATGCATATGAGCAAAAAAAAAACTAAAAACAAGAAAGGAAGCCCTTGCAGTCATCAAATATATCGATCAAAATGCATAAAGGCTAAACAACATCGAAGCTTTGACAATTTTTCTATAAATTTTCCATATTTTCGACTATTGTTCCTATGGCAGCTATATGAAATGTATATAAAATTAAAATCGTAATTCAAGAGTAGTTAGAAAACTCTATAATCCAAAAATTATGCTTGTCTGATGAAAAACAACCATGTTATAATTTTATTTCCGCTATTTCGATATAGATTTTTCTGTCTCTCCTATGGCAGCGATATGGTAACGTTGTCGGATTTTAATCGATTTTAATCTCGATTCAAGGGTTATTAAAAAACATCATATTTTGAAAATCATGTTCGTGGGATTAAAAGCAAGGCGTTATAATTTTTTTTCATTATTTATACACATATTTTTCGATCTTTTGTATGGTAGCTACATATATGATAGACATATCCACCACTTACAGTGGCTCACAGCTTAAAGTATGCAGTGCATACTTTTAACTTTAAACGCCCATAGCGGTAAAACTATAAGGAATATTGGAATAAACAAGGTGCCAAATGAAAGATTAACTTATTTAGAATAACGTTACAAAATCATTTATTTTCAAAAACGGCTTAAACACAAAAAAAAACTTTAAAAATGAAAAATACAGCTTATATTCAGCTCACAGCTTATTTTATGCAGTCTCAAAAATGTTCAAAAAATAAGGAAAAAACTCAAAAATATAACGTTTTTAATATTTGGTATGGTAACCATTGTTGTCAACGACATCTTTCAGCCTTTTCGGCATTGATTCAACCAATTTTTGGGTGACTTCTGACGAGATCTTTCCCCACTCCTTCATTAGGGCATCTTTTAAATCATTTTTGTTAAAAATATGGTAATTTCTAATATTATTATCCAAAATGGCCCATAAATTTTCAATAACGTTGAGGTCCGGTGACTGAGCCGGCGTATCCACAACGTGAGGGCAATTGTACAGCAACCACATCCGCACAATTCCAGCCTTGTGCTTTGGATCATTATCCTGATAAAAGCGGAAATTGTCTTTTATTCCAAGATCCTCGGCACTTTGGACCAAATTGTCCTTTAATATTTGAAGGTATGCTTTTTTATCCATTGTCGATTCAATAAAAGTCAGTTTTCCAGGGCCAGGAGCTGACATACAGGCCCAAACCATCACGCTGCCACCGCCGTGCTTTACCGTTGCCTTCAGGTTCTTTGGTTCAAGCTCTGTATTGGGCTTCCGCCATACATAAGCGTTACCGTCTGATCCAAATATATTCAATTTGGATTCGTCTGCAAATATCACTCTTTTCCAGAAGTCGGGGGTCGGCGGAAGCCCAATACAGAGCTTGAACCAAAGAACCTGAAGGCAACGGTAAAGCACGGCGGTGGCAGCGTGATGGTTTGGGCCTGTATGTCAGCTCCTGGCCCTGGAAAACTGACTTTTATTGAATCGACAATGGATAAAAAAGCATACCTTCAAATATTAAAGGACAATTTGGTCCAAAGTGCCGAG